ACACACACACACACACACACACACACACACACATACACACATACACGCGCGCGCGCGCGCGCACACACACACACACACATACATACGCACCGACGTTCACACATAAACAGTGGAGGTATAGTAGGGCAAATTTTACTTTGGTTTGATAAGGACTTTATAACTCAGACAGTTGGCGGATGGGGGATGGTGGGACGAAGAAGCAAAATACAATGTTTATATAGGCGTTCCTTTTCGTTCTTTGGTAAAACTTGACGGTAAGCGGGCTGGCGGTATAATGGGGGACGATTTAACGAGGTTTGACAATATATTATATTCTACATATTCAAATAATCACTGCTTCCCTTCTTTATTTATTAGAACACCTTCGAAGTCAAATTCACCCATATATATAGGCCCCATAAATTAAATGTTAATAGACTTTTATAACCATCAATGAACAGTGTGCACAACGTTCAAAACTGTTTCATTGCCAGATTCAGATGAGTAGGCCTACCTTGTTCATATCTTTGGGGCAGCAGTCACAAGCACTGATTAAGTAAGTTTGCAATTAGATTAGTAGAGTCTACTCCAGAGAGGTGCAGGGAACATGTGCTCAACACTCAAAATTGTTTCATTGGCACATACATACCTTGTTCACCCCTTTTCGGGCAACTTTCATAAGCAGTCACACGAACTGATTATGTACGCTAAAAATAATTAGACTGGTATAGTCTACCTTACAAAGATGAAAGGAACTAAACTTCTAATAATCTTACGGCTGCTGTGAGTGCTTGTTTTCCTTCTATACTTTTTACCGTCCTATATTCAGATTATAACCTCAATTCTGACACCGGCTCTTGGCCACGAAAGACTAGAAAAAACAACACAAAACAACAACAACAACAGCAACAACAACAATAAAACCCAAACAACCAACCAAACAAACAAACAAAACAAAACACCCCCAGCCAAATTTGAAATCATATTGATAAATGTCACTTATTATTATACCTGATTTGCAGTACTATCATTTCTG